ATCTTTGAAATCTTTGTAATACGTCTTAACCTATGTTCAATTACATTCTCCCATAATTTTAAAGTATGACACATCAACTTAGTTCCTCTATAATTAGCACAGTCTTGTGCATCCCCTTTAATCTTAAAAATGGGGACCAAAATACTCTTCCTCCACTCATACTCTTACCAAAATACTCTTCCTCCACTCCTCACGCATCTTTTTAGTTTTTAAAATAATATTATAGAGTTTATTAAGCCAAGAAACTCTCAAATCTCCTAAAAATTTTCACACTTCAGTTGGGATATTATCAGGTCCTAAAGACTTTCCACCCTTGGTTTTCTTTAAAGGCTCCTCAACTTCTTTTTTACTAATGTGACAATAAAAATGAAACGTTTTATTATTATTAACGATATCAAGATCATTAAGGTCGATCGCATTTTCAGAAACTTCATTAAAAATTTTATCAAAATAACTCACCCACCTATGTTAAATATTTTTTCTAAGAAAAGCACTTTTTGATTTTCATCTTTAATATATTTTACTTAGTTAAATCTTTATTCTTCTTTTCTCTTTGTTTGGCTAGTTTATACATATATTTTTCACCCTCCTTAGCATCTAATCTGTTATAAAGATCACTAAAAGTTGAATTTTTAGTTGTACAAAATACTATAGTTTATCAAAATACCTGAGTTTTACAACCAAATTTACAAAAAGTTGGAGCCTCCCCAAATGAATCCTTAGTTGCCAAAAACTTTTAACTCCCCAAACAAACCCTTAGTCACAATATAAACTTTTTTTTAAGATAGTTGTACAAAAAATGAATGATAATCATACTTCTAGGATAATGTTTGGAAACTTTATGGATGGAAATACTAGAATTAATTTAAGAAAAGCAAAAAGAAACTTTGACAATAGTCAACTTCAGCCACATTACTTCGATGATACTCCAAGCATTTATTTTCCATTAAAATTTGTGTCCAAAGATTTAAACAAATATAAATTCAAGTTTAAAAGAAGCCATGGTCAACGAGCAAGAAATTGAAGTTTGTCAATAGAAATTAATTTTTTGCTGCTCGACATATAGCCTTTATGTAACTCCAACCTATATTCATATTCAAGTACCATGTAACTCAGTTAGAATAATACAGATAATGCAGAACTGGAGCATAGGCAATTAAAATTAACATGGTTTGACATGCTATATGCTATATGTAAAAGTAAAAAGATTCGACACCAAAAACAAATTAGTAAAGCAGGTTGATGCATGCCAAACAAACAATTGAATAAGAAAACAGTCGGGTAAAAAGTAAATTCGTTTCATGAAACTGAAATTCTCTCCTACAGAAATTAACCAGGCACTAAGAAACTCAATATTAATAAAAAAAGGATGGAGAAAATGGCATTTTATCATAATTATGCCTAAGAAAATCATATTTAAGTATCCATATAATAGAATGAAGAATGTGCGGCTCATAAAGTACAAATTTTAATCCCATCTCTGTTTCAACCCTACTTTTTGGAGTTCTAAGCATTGAGGTTCAATAAAATATTAATAGATAAGAGGTCCTCATTAGCTTCAAAACAGCATGCAATAAATTATTTCATATTAACATTATTATCTGTATATGAAAACAAAGTGAAAACTTACAATTATTGGATTCAATAAGGTATCATTTGATCGTCCAGATGCAGTTTCAACCATCCATGAAGGGACCATGACACAGTAACTCCAACCTGTTCTGGAATCATGCGGCCAAATAGTGTTTCTTCCCTCCTGCAAATACGTATGAGACATACGAGCCAGAACAGGAAAAGTTATACTTTGAAATTTGAAAAGGTACATGAAAATGGCTAGTAGAAGTTCAGCAATAGAATCTAAACCATGGCCATTCATACAAAATAAATGCTATTTGGATTTTTATTACACTTAATCTATTGGTGTACAATGACTCAGATGGCATCCACAATTTTGTGTCAGGGTGAGAACAGAGAAAAAGTACATAATTTATATCTAATTATGATTTCATTCGAAAGTATGGGCCATGGTCATGAGTTGTATCTTTAGTTTTTATGGTTAGGTTTATGAATCTTATTCACTAGAGTGGAAAGAAATGAGTCTGGAATAATGCTTTAAAAAAAAATAAGAAAATGTTGATTAAACTTATATTCCAATTTAGAACACAAGCTTATGCAAAAGTTTCTCCATAAACAAAATGCTTAAGTGATGACCCTTTTAGGGTCCATGGACTCCATTGGCAAAAATGTTCTTCTAGTTTGAGGAAATTACAATGATAGACAATAATATTATAAATTATAATCAATGACATTGATGAGTTATTTTTGGGTACATAAATATGTATGGTACGGATGTCTATGATATTTTAGCATTTGAATGCATTGACTATCATTTTCACATTATTAATTGTGAAATCCATATACAAAAATCATTATAGATTAATTACCATTTTTAATACTTCATGTCATATGAGATTGATTTAACTTGGCACAAATGGTTATGATTATTATGAGAATATGATTTGTTAATCATGCTACATTATTGATAACATTTTATACCTGATACTTACACCTTAGCGAGTTTTTTATTTGATTTATTAGAAATTCATATTTATTCTTATGAAGACAATAGTAATAGGTTGGTTACAATTATTCTTTTGGTGAAGAAATTACTTGAATGTCACGGCCTTTAGTGCAACCCACTTCTTCTAGTAGTTGACTCTTTTATCTTCAACTACAAAATCTTGTGTTCAAGACCTATCACATTCAGGTCTGTACATGAGCTAAAAAAAAAGTCATAGGCTTTTAGTGCTCTGAGCATATTTTAGGTAAATATCGTTATTTTGATGGTAATATATTAATCAAAATAACCATAAATTTATGAACTTGTCTCTCCGCTCAAGTCAATGTCGAAATCTTCCAGCCATGATGAGCGGATTGTGATAATGCGTGGCAATAACAAACAAGGATCTATTTATGGAAATTCTTAACTCACATTACATTGTGAAGTACATTCTGCTGGAAGCTATGGAAATGCTGTTTTGCCATCAACATTTATTTTCTAACAACCAATATTAGATCTATGATCAAAGCTAGATCAGCAAGGAAGATAGACCGTTTCTTAATGGCACTACTTGAAAGCTTGAGATCTTCAAATTCAAGGGATAGAATTTCAATTGATAGTGCCTTCACCCCAATTATAATACTAGCCAAAAAACAACACTCACAGTTAAATTTAAGGAATGCAATGTCTACTGCGGAAATAATTAGAAACACTGCCGTTAAATTGCAGGGACCAGGACGCCCAACCCACCGATCTTTAGATCTGGGTAACTATAACACATTTATACAACAAATTCAACATCCCTAGTCGATGCAAAAAGAATGCAAGCAATAGCAAAATCAAAAAAGAACAAACGTTCCTGAACCATAACCATCAAGCTCGCCTTCTTTCATATAGGCACCGAAAATCCACTCCCTGAATTTACAAGGAACAAATAGCACTAGTAGTAATTCAATTCGTTTTAAATTGTCCTCAATAAAAACAAGCTAAGGACCGAATTTCCAAGAAGATCGCAAATCCAGAACTAGCGACAGAAAAGGGTTAGAGAACAGAAAATACCCATTTCCTTGGGGGCGGGCTCCAATCCATGCCGAGGGGTAGTGGCGAGGTACCGTCATGTCGATGCTTTGGCGGGCTTGACCTCGGCATCTCCTCCCTATGATGAGCGAGTTATTTAAGAGGCGGCCACGGAGAGCGATTACGACGGCGATCTGTATGAGACACCAACGGTGGCGCTGAAGGTGGAGAGCGGTCCGAGCCAATCGACTGCTCTTGTCTGACTGTCCTGGTTCGCGAGCGGAAAGCGGACAGTTTCTTCACGTTTGCGCCTTTCGGGAAGCCGGAGTCCGTAGATACAGTCTAACTGAAACCGGTTCTGGCTTGGCACAATGCCTCATACCCCAATTCCATGAAGAAATATTACATCATTATTACGCACGTTATTTTTAAGTGCGCAGTCAATCAAAACACACCACGACATCTCGTGCGGCGGAGTAAGAAAAACGGCGCAGTAACACGGAGAATATTCTCTCTTGTGTTATTCATGTGTTATTGCGCGTTATTCATGTGTTATTGCATGTTATTCATGTGTTATTGATGTGTTATTCTGTTATTATAACACCAGGAATATTCTCAGGATACAATAACACATGAATAACACACAATAACACTTGAATAACACGAGATATTTCCAACAGAGAAAAAAACGGCGCGGTAACACGGGGGAATATTCTCTCCCGTGATATTCTTGTGTTATTGTGTGTTATTCATGTGTTATTCATGTGTTATTGTGTTATTAAAACACCAAAAATATTCACAGGACACAATAACATATGAATAACACACAATAACACATAAATAACACCGGGTGGGGGAATATTCCAGTTTTACTCCGCCGTTTTTTTTTCTGGGTCGCGCGGGGTATTGTGGCGTGATTTCATTGGGTACGCACGTTACTCTACGTGCGTAGTACTGATGTAATATTTTTTCCAATTCCATACCTCCAAAAAGTTTGAATCCTGAATCTAATGTCTAAGAATATCAAATACCTGATCCCAGAGGTCTTAGAAATTCTATCAACCAAAACGTCATGGTAGGTGGCACAATCTGATTGCTTGTTATTGACATGTTTAAGAGTTATTATTATATGGGAGAATGCACATACATACCACCCAATTCTTCTTAATTTACATATCTAACATCCTAATTTATAATTTACTCTAATACAAACTAAAACTTTCTAAACCTTCAAAATACAACTCTAGTGTTTGATTTGCTAAAGAATGATTGTTGCCTATAAGAAATGCATAATGTTATAATTGTAGTGTTATTAGTGTTAGAGAATTTGCGGCATATATCAGCATTTTAGTATTGTACGAACATCCAGCATATACATAAATAAAAGAAAGGGTTGATAAATGAGACATTTGGGATTTTTATGTGGTAAATTCGAAAGGAAAAAAGTATAGGGCCTAGCCTAATTAAAATGGTTCAACTATTCAGATGTATGTTACGAGAATTTGTCTACCCTTAAACATCAAAAAATAATATTACAAGAACTAAGAAAATATCGTATGTATGTATGTATGTATGTATGTATATATATATATACATCATAACTAATTAAATGTTTGCTTTTATCTCATTAGACTAAGTTTGAGATTCTATTTGTTAAATAGACCTTACATTTAGTTTTAGGATTGTGAGGTTGTTCATCTTACTATGACAAGTCCTCATTTCTTAGGCTTTCTTAAAATATGCTATTATTATGATATAAACCCTAATTTTCGAAAAAGAAATGTCAACTTAAATAAATAAATCTTTCAATTTAAAAAATAATTAAATCCCAACCATAGGATAGTAGAAGTGCTACTAAGTTTCTCAGTATCTAAACACTTATAACTTTTCTCCTTTAAATTCTGATAATAAATGTTCCACATATTCTTTCCATTTGAATTTCAAAAAAACAATAATGAAAAATAAGCTTTAAAATTTTAAAGACTTAACCTCAACCTTAACTAACGGTTTTCTTTAGAGATTTTCTCTCTCAAAGTGCAATGAACTATAATGGCTTGTTTTTTTAGAAAATTTGTAATGCAGATTAATTTGAATCCTATCTAGCTTTCTGGTTCGATAGAGAAAATATTTTTTAAACATAAATATTGACCCACTAATTATTAAAAAGATTATTCATTTGAGTAATTAAATCCATTGTAAAGTGATATTTATATCTTTTCAAATAATATATTATTTTTTATGTCATTTTTTTATTATTCAAATAATTTAAATATTAAAAATATATATAATGAATACAAATTAAATTATTTTTTTTTCGTGTGACTCTACTAGGGATTACTTCTCTGATAATTTTATCTTTAAATATCAGTAGTGTGTTTATATCCCTTACAGACCAAAATACTTTTCATCCATTGGATATCTTGCCTATTTTGCTCTTGGACGGGTATAGCCAACATATTAAATACTTTAATTTTAGAACCTCCAATTTAACATTCTATAACTTGTGGGTTCTAGAATCTCATAAAACAAAAAATTTTGAAACCCCAATAATTTATTTTGTTTCTTTTGGTTTAGGGAAGAATTCCTTAACATTCAAAATTCTGCTAAGTGAAATTCTAACCTACACTAATAAAAATCCTCTTAAAACAAAATTAAACCATTTAAATTAATATTTCACAAAATAAGTTGTTATGCTCCCTCCCTCACTTAGTTTATGGAATTAAACTTTTCTCATATAAACATTAGCCACAAATTATAGGTTACCCTAAGGTTATAACTAGCATGAAATCATAAATTGTATTTGCTTATAAAATATGAAATTCAAACTCGCATTTGTCTATAAATGTAAAACTTAACTCATCCAACTTGCATTTTCATGTGAATGTAAAATTTAACTCATCCAACAAACATTTTCATATAAAACATGAAATCTCAACTTACATTTCTATGGAAATGTAAAACTTAACTTTGTTTTAGTTTGTTTTTTTTTCTCTTTTTTTTATTTTCAAAGGAGTTGTCAGCTTGTCGATCATCTTATAATTCCCTTCTTCGAATGAATCTCTTTTCTGGGTTGTGTAAATGACCAGAAGAATAGAAAAACCGGAATAGACGAACATAGGACAACAAAGACAGACAAGAGAAAAAGTAAAATGTGGAGAGCTTACGTATGATAAATGACCCGACCCGCAATAACGCAGTTATTTAGTTTCTTGGACAAAAACTTGACATGGTTTCTTTAGGCTGCTAGTGTGCAAAACAGATATGTTATAAAGTTTAGAATTTGATTTATCGTTTGCACACTAAGGTTCTACGCAACTGCACGTATTATTTCAATTAATATAGGAAATTCTTTAAAACCCAGAGTATCGATCCCATAGAGAAGCGAGCTAAGAAATCCCTTAAGCTAATTCTAGTCTACTACTATGATGTCTTAGTATGGAATGTTGATAATCGGTGTTTTTCTAACAACTACTCTTAAGTACAAACCTAAATCTAAAGATAAGCCTAACTAGATAAATTTGTTTGGTGAATTTGAGATGTAACAACTTCCTTTCTTATGTAATGACCTAGGTAAGGTGTAGGAATGAAATGCTTAGAATTTAATGTAGCAGTGACAATAGGAGCAAACATATTCCTTACTCTCTTCCGAGTGCATAAAGAACATTGGCTCACCTAGAGTTAAGCTGTCAAATTCTTGGTTATGTTGGATATGTTCCAGCCTCTCACTTCTAGATTACCCACTGTGTCCTCTCTTTTGGACTAACATAACCTTAATTCCCAAACTGTAGATCAAATTGAAAAGAATCTAGCAAGTCACCCTAGAAACACCAATTTACACCCAATTAACGAATATTCTCCTAACTTAGCATTGCCGCTTAAACTACTTCACCATAGCAAACCGGATAGTGTGAGTGCACGCAAGTTATGAAGCACTAATCTTCCGAGTCTTAGTTTAAACTTACAACTGATTTTAACATAACATATGGCCAGTATGTTGGGTTAATGAAGCAATGGAGATATTAATCATCACATAGAAATTAAAATTTTTCTATTATAAAATAGATTTTCTCACTTATGCCACTACTTCATAACAAGAGTGTTGACCTCACTTTTGAAAAGGTCAATCTATATTACTTATATGAGCTCAAACCCAAACTCTTTGGCTGAGTGGGTTTAGAGCTTTGACTAAGTGAATAATTGAATTGACCATTAAGGGTACGTATACTCTAGGCCACTTGGGTCAAGCTTGAAAATGTTAGGAGCCATAATGACCATTAAAATTATCTTAGGAAGGGGATCCGCCTAAAGTGTTCTCTAACCTCATTAATGGCCTTCTTAACTTTTCCAAACCCTAAATTTCACATCAAACCCCTAATTTGTCCTTTTAAACCTAAAAGGGACAAACCCACCAAATAATCAACCCAGGTTAACCCTGGTCAACTCATGACAATTTGGTCAATTTTTCATTCTCTTAAATTATTAATTAATTAATTAATTGAAAGAATGAACTTAAGACCCATTTAGCTTAGATTTAGGCCCAAACCCTAATTTTATGCTTAAAGCCCAAACATTTAGCCCATGGCCCAAGCCCATGACCCAATGGGTCATCTATGACCTACACTAACCCACCATGGATTTAAATGACCCATGCATTATTAAAATGACTAATAAAAGAAAAGAAAAAATAAATAAGGGAAAAGGGACAAAGGAAGTCATTTCTACCTACCCCCCCACCTCCTCCTTGGCATTTTAGTCCAAGAAACCCAAGTCCCTTCATGCTTGGGTCAAGGAGGAGTGCTTCCAAGCTCAATCACCCCACCTCTTCCTCTCTCTATTGTCCAAAAGCCATTGATTTCTCCCTCCTCCTCCATTGGAGCCAACATGGACAAACATGCCAAAACAACAATTCTCTTCATAAGTTCTCCCTCTGATCTAGGAAAACATCTCAGGGGAGTCGGGGGATCTTCCCTAAGACAAATTTGACCACATCCAAGCCTCCAATGGTTATTAAAAGGGCAAACCCAAGAACCCCCATAAGAGGAATAACCCTATCCAAGCCTCAAAACCTTTGGCCTTCAAGAGAGAAAATCTCCTCCAAGACATAGGCAGTTGGTCCCCCATTTTTTGAAGGCCTCAAAATCTCTGTGAAACCCAAATTTCTTATCCCAATTCCTGGGTAAATTTTGGGTATAAGAAAAACTTTGACAAAGCTTCAAATAAAACCTCCCAAAAGCTTCCTTGAACCTTAAGAAGACATTTCCCATTGAAATTGAGCCTTCTTAAGGTCTCTAACCCATTCTAAGCTGAAACAAAGCCACCATTCCATCAAGGATATACATAGGCTCAATTT